AAGTATAATTATAAATGTGCTCTTCCATATCCAAAGTTTTCATTTTCATCACGAAAGCGACTAAATATTTCGACAAAAGAGCGAGATTTCGCTTGTTTGTAATTACATTGAGTAGAAAAGCTGCAATTTTGCTGGAAAATTGAACAAAACGCCTCTCAGAAGCGCACAATTACGTCAGATGTTCTTCTTATTTTTAGGACTAGCCGTGTCCGTAATTTCGTACGTGGAAATCGTATGGTACGAGTAGGTACGTCGTATTTCAGTCTGCCTTCCAGTTAAGTAGGACCTCTAACTCACATGGAATTGTGTGAATTAGAGGGATCAAGATACATTTCTAATGGAAATAAAGGAAACTAATTTTCTGTTTTCACTAGCACTTTCATTCACACTTTCTGGAGACCTTACTAAATATAGAAAATTAAATAGATTTACTTTGATATAATAATCTTCTTTGAAATTTATAAAGATTATGATTGGGATATTATGTTTGCTTGATCATTGGAAACATTCTTATTAACACACCAAAATAAAAGGTGATAAAAACGTTCACTTTGCAAAGACTTAGAAACATTTTTCAAAGGACAGCTTAGCACAGATACCTACTAATGAATTTAGTTGGAAATTATATTAATGTCTGAAATGATATAAACGCAAATACATTTCAATCCAACATTAATTAAAATGGAAGCAACACTTTGTGTACACAAACTACTTAACAAACTATTCATATTTTCGGCGAGATGCGAAAATTGTCCATTTTCAGTTACATGAGAGGCTCATAGGGTTGCAATTTTAGTAGAATGAAACGAAAATCGCAATGAGATATGAATATAAATTACATTATACCAAGACATAGAAACAAAATGTTCTTCTTGTGTTAAAACACAAGAATTTTGAAGTTAAAATACCGCTGAAAGTTCGTTTATCAAAGTTTGAAATATCCAATTAGTATCAATTTTATATCGTTTGGAAGCTGAAAGTCTTGGCTAACTTTTGGCTAACAGATGTTTCCGTGGACATCTGTGCTGGTTTTATACAAACGCTGGGTTGAACATTATATGCGGTTTAATATTAGAATGAAGACTCTACGAAGAATATTGTGCGATAGTTTAACAGTTAAGCGTGAAAACTGAAAACAAAATTTTACCACAATATTCGACCTAACCATCGCAGAAATGAGTTTATCTCTAACTCGATTGTACAAGTATGATCAGTCGATTTTGAACTATAATAACGTGCAAAGCTTCATTAATGTAGTATTTAAGTGCCTCTACAATGTTTAAACATAAACCAAGATATAAAAATATAAACACATAATCTGTATGCAGCTCTCGTCTTCCATTAAGGAACTAATAAAACTATCTGTGGAACTTAGCGAATCACCTGCTTTAGTAAAGATGTGGCGTTGAGAGGATTAACTTTTTAATACAACGTATCTACTGGAGAGCCTTTTATTTATTTATTTATTAACACCAACAAGACATACACCATTTTAGACAATATTATACATGCTTATATAATAGGTTAAGTGCTATCTTAATTATAGGCGTTACACAAAAAAATTAAAAAAGTTAAAGGCCTTTTAAAGAAGACTGCATGTAATATGTACTGATATGGTTGCTAAACATGAATATTCTGCAGTGCAATACTGGCTGATTGGAATTAAAGAAAATGCTTCAACGAGAAACAAAAATGAAAGAAAAGTTAAATGTCTTCTCAGAAAAAGGACCAAAAAAATAACTGTTTATTTTAGTGACTTATAAAAAAATATTGTTGATTGATAACGAATTCCATACCTACATACTCGTAAAGTGAAATCTTTGTTCCCCGACTGCACCGGAAGAAGAGTTATGTTTTTAAGTAGGTGACAAAACACGGAAATTAATCGGAGTATAATATGCTTAAGTAATCTATAGATATAGAAAGCCCATTTACCGTGAAAAGCTATAAAATAGGTAATATATCATCACGCTTAGACCAATAGGAGCGGAGTGCTAAGAAAAATAAGCTAGCGTTAGTCGTTAACTAACGTTATTAATTTCATTTATTTTAATAACAATAAAAATAAATGTACACTAACCTGGACTTGCAGCTCGAGCAGCATCTCCTCCTCACTTAATACAAACACTTCACTTCACTAACTTTGCCTCGACACGTCTGTTCACTGTGGAGGTTGGAGAGCGACTGACATTTTGGTACTCGATTCGTCATAAAGTAAACTAGTGAATGAGTGAGTGAACTGAGTGATCTTAATACGTTAAAAATGCTGATGTTAATAAATTTAATTTTTTTTTTAATATCTTCTATACCTACTAATAAAAAGATTTATATGTTCTGGTCCGAATTAAAATCGATTTGGAATATTATAATCTGCATTTTTTTTTCCAATGAACATCTTTCTTAATTTTTAATATTTTTCTTAAATATCTAGGCATAACCTGCCTACCCGTGCAAAGCCACTAGTGAATAAATAAAATTAAATGTAATATCGTTCAATTATCCTGTCTACCAATATTAAAGCTAAACTGGATGAGAATGCCTTATGGCATTAAGTTCGCCTAATGTTAATAATTTTGGCATTGAAGTATAAATAAATAAATAAATAAATAAATAAAGCAAGTTTCCTTATAAGTGGTTAATAAAGCTCTTCTTATCCTGTTTGCTGGTCTCTACTAAAGAAATTTCTCAACCTGTAAAATGAATTTTCTTCCGGAAATGAGATAGGTGAACTTGTTCTTTTTATTTGCTTCCGTGCTAATCGATTCGTTTGGGTTTATCAACCTACTGTGTACTAGTGCTGTCAGTTGATAGTCGAATATCGATAGAAATATAAAAGTGTGTCAAACCAATAGTAGCGCTATTGTAAATCAACAGTGCCGAATAGTGTCGATAGTATACTCAACCAATACAAGTAGGTATCTACAGTATCGAACGTTTTTTCTTTTATGAGCAGTGACACTATTGATATTCATAAATAAATCAATGTAGTGTATTAAAATCAAAATAGTGCTGAGTTTCTTCTGCCGCGTCTTTTCGCACTGGCCCATTTGTTGTCCCGAAGCAATGCATATGATTAATTAATAATAGGACACGAATCTCTTTTACGAAAAAGAGCTTTTTATAAGCCTAATTATTATTGCAAAATAAATGAATTAGAATTTGACAGTAGTATAGCTGATAGATTTATCGTTGTTCTATCGATAACCGAAATATCGATAGTTACTGTTCAGCAACAACCTGTACAACTTATAGTCCAGTCAATGAATGCTTTAACGACGGTGTAGAGAGAAATCCCTGGAACACAATTTCTGACCTCGGGACTTTATTTAGACTAGTTAGGAGGTGAACATAACAAAAGTCCCCGCCCTTAGCCCTTGAGCCGGCGGGGAGAGGGGGGTTTGCAGGTACCACTTTTCGGTTTTTTGCTTAATCCTCGGAAACTATGCGTGCTAGTGACATAGCTACTGTGAACCAAAAAAAGCTTATTCAATTTGCTACAGGTGAGACAATCAAGTTTTTCTATATCTTGTATAGTTTTCGCGGTATCTGCTCTAGAAGGTCTGTAATATTGGAAATTTTAATTTTGTCTTACATGTTCCCATTAGGAGAAAATCGACCAAATCAACATTGAGCAAACATTATAGACATGCGGGAGCATGTTAAGCCTAGTTCCAGGGAGGGGACTGCATCGTGCGTATATTTAGACGAACCAATTTGAGCCACTTTTGACTCCTCATCACTCAAAAAGTACTGTGCATTAACACTTCAAATTTGGCTCATGTGTTGAGACTTGCAAGATAAACATCAGCTACAAATTTCATAAATATACCTCAAACGGTTATTTAGGTATTGACGTTCAAAAATCGACATTTAGGACACTAAAATCTATCCATCACCTGTGAAATGTTAAAATTTACTGGTTTTTTATTCGTTCCTTTGTATTTACACAGCTACCTATCTGGATGCCAAATTTGAACCTTCAAGGTCATCTGGAAGTGGTTAGAATTTGGTCTTATAGGTCAGCCATGTAGATTTTAAGACGTCAATACCCAAAGAACCGTTTGAGGTTTATTTATGAATTTTGAAGCTGATGTTTATCTTGCAAGTCTCAACAAATGAGCCAAATTTGAAGTGTTAATGCACAGTACNTCCGACAATAAAATCCTAAAATTGCAGGTGCGTGAGAAACTAAAATTACCATGCTCTAAAATTAACACGCTAGAACTACCAAAGCATTTACATCTTAAGTTTGTACGAGAAGTATTACAATCCCACCAAAAACATTCTGTAAAAAATTAGCCAAGGTCTCGATGGAGCTGCCTGTTTATTTCTAAAAAGTAATGAAATCTAGACAAAGTCGTGCCAAGTCTATGGTTCCTTACTGCGATTTCTTTATTATTATACACAGGGTCGGACTGGGCCGGAAGGGCCCGGGTGGCTGATCGCAATCCCGAGGCCCGAGACTAGATCATGGTGATGGGATACTATCGAAAAATACTGAGATACACAAATTGAGATAAAAAACAAACTATAAAAGTCTCTATCCCTATCACAACATTTGCAATGATCGTTTGAACTAGTAATTTTGATAAAGACAAGTTAGATTTTAAAATAAAAACAAGATTTCGAAGTAAAATAAGCATTTAAGTTAAAATTAAAATTGTCTTTAGGGGTCATCCATAAAGTACGTCACACGTAAAGAGGGGGGGAGGGGGTCGACAAAGTGTGACATGGTGTGACAAGGGGTGGGAGGGGTCCTAAGTTTCGTGACATCACATTTCAAAATCTAACATATCTAGAGGTACTAATCGCGTAATTCGAAATATAAATTAAACTAAAAAATACCCCCACCACTTAAGCACAACTCCGTCGAAGTCGTCTAACCGTCCTNAGTCCCGCTACGCGCCAACCATATCGCACAAGCTGTTTAGAGTAAAAGAGACAAAAATTGCCCCTCTCTTTCCTACCCTACCTGCCGGAGTGCCATAGATCCTCATTCTTGTCCGTGCGCGCGCGGCGTTCGCACAAGTGCAAACACGTTCATCTGTGATTCACAAAATGTCGAAACGTAAGCACGAGGATGAATCATGCGAAGAAAAGTGGTTACGGAAAATGAAAAAATATGAGCGTAAATTGCAAGCAAAACGGTCTAGGCGAATAATTTACTCGGACGATGAAAATGATGTGCAAAATGAAGGTAAGTTAGCTACTTATTTTCAATCGACCAAAAAGTGAAAGTGAGTCATTTGTAACGAACGAGACGTTTAGTGCATTGTTTGTTTATTCTATTTTTAAATATCCGTTGTATTCTTCGGAGTGTTAAAGTAATTTTGGACATGGAAAATGCACACTTTTTTGGCAAATACTATTTAAGACTGTTCCGTTCCGATGCATTCATCGGTAACGTTTATTTTAAGCATCTGATGTATTCTTCAGATAGCAATTCATATTTATACAAGTTTTTTTTATAAATACTTGTCTATTCCCCATGCATTCATCGGGAATATATTATTATTTTCATCCGATGTATTCTTCGGATACCCGAGTATAAGCAGAAATATGAGCTTTTGATCAAAATTATGTAGATACCGTCGCATTTATCGATAACATGATTTAAAATAAAAAATCGCTAGTAAATACCTAGTTTATTGTACTTCCTAAATAAGCTTGCTATAATTCAGTTCCTATAATTTGCTATTTACTTAAACTAATTACTGCTTAAAAGTTTATACTTATTCACGCATAATCGGGCCCGATTGCGACTATCTAATAGAAAAACTAAATGTTTTTCAGAACATCTTCAAGATGATCCGGGTTTACCCGTCAACTACGGGGATTCTGAAGAGAATCATGATTCTTTACTACTGATTGATTCAGAGGAATCGCAACAGAATAACAACGCAGATATTTATATTCCGGAAGACAACCCACCTGAAGAGGAGGATGCGTTCGACCCAACACTTCTTCAGGCCCTAGGTCATCTAGAACCAGAGACAACCGAATTCGGCGAAAATATTCAAACTGATTTAGCTAAGCAGTTAGGAAATATTTTGCTATGTGGCCTTAAAAAGGAAAATAAAGAAGAACTTTTAAAAAAGTATTTAATCCCTCAGAATTTGCCATTAGCTAAGAGCCCCGATTTAAATCCTGAAATAGGAGGTATGCTGGCGGAAGTATGCAAATCACGTGATAAGAGATTACTAGCTAAGCAAAACCAACTTGGCAAATCTTTGTCGGCATTAGGCAAGGCCATAACAGGACTGTTAAAAAAGGACCCAGATGTACCCGATATCATCCGTACGTTGAATGATGCAGCCAAACTATTAGCTGACTCTCACTTCACCGAGACAGATACCCGACGTACGGTTATTATCCCGTTAATTGATAAATCCTTAGCGGAGCCTTTCAAGGAAAGAAAAAGAGACCAGCTCTTATTCGGAGAGAACTTAGGAGATCTAGTCAAGAACTCCAGAGGAATAAAGCGAACTAGTCAAATGATTCAAGCATCTGCTAGCACCTCAGCCTCGAATTTAAACGGGAGAGGCCCATCGAACCGAGCGCGGCAGCAACGAGTCACCGCAACCTACCAGTACCGGACCGGTGGGCCGAGACCAACACCGTCATACCCCAGCCGCCGACGAGGATTCCCGCCACCTCCACCTCCACCGCAGCGATTCATTCGTCGTCAGCCTCCACCGCCGCCGCCACCGCGTCGGCAACCCCCAGTAGCCGCACATCGGCCCTCGTTCAACCGGTCAGCGTAGCTCATCAGGTACACGCTGGTCGCTTAAAATATTTTCTTAATGAGTGGCAATGTATTACTACAGATAATCTTATATTAGATGCAGTGTTAGGTTACAAAATCCCATTTATTACCGAGCCTTTGCAAGATCCACAGCGCTTGCCTAATAAAACTTTTTCTAAAAATGAGTCAATAGCAATGAAAAATGAAATCAATCGTTTATTACAGTTACAGGCTATTCGACAATGTAAACCAACTTTAGGGCAATTTATTTCAGACATATTTTTAATACCCAAAAGCAACGGTAATATGCGGTTTGTTTTAAATTTAAAGAAACTTAATAAATTCGTCTTTGCCGAACATTTTAAGATGGAAGACATTAGGACAGCAACCAAACTTTTAACTAAAGATTGCTTTATGACCAATGTGAACTTAAAAGATGCATATCTTTTAATACCAATTCATGAGAACCACACAAAGTATTTAAGATTTTGTATTGATGGTATTTTATACGAATTTACTGCATTACCATTTGGGCTTTCATCGGCACCATATACATGGTGGAAACGATAAGTGATCTCATTCGATTATTTCTAAACTATACAAGATATCGAAAAACTGGTTACTAATCTAGAAAGTGCTTCACAAGCTCTATCCAACGGTACCAATATTAGGTTACAGAATTAACTGGATCTATCCGAAAACTTAAATGTTTTTAGTCTCCATACTAAATGTATGCCAGCCAAACAATAATAGAAGTATTAATTTTTTTTATTCAATAATAAACACTTAAAATGAACTCGTAAATTACATTCTCATTTAAAATTATTATTGGAAAACATTGGTTTCAGGCTTTACTTGCTATAATATTAACAAGACATGAGTGTGTTAGAATTTTAGGCATTAATCATTTGTAAATTNTAGACGATATTTTGTGTCTAGGAGATACAAAAGATAGTTGTCAAAACAATGTCCAAACCACACTTGACCTACTAACACGCTTGGGGTTTATTATAAATTTCACTAAAAGCAATCTTACCCCACAAAAGTCATGTCAATTCTTAGGTTTTATTCTGAATTCCACATCTATGACGTTAGAATTGCCACAAACAAAACGTCAGAAATTAATTCAACTGATAGAAATTACTCTAAATTCAAAAAGAGTTCGCATACGAGAATTTGCTCGATTTCTTGGTTCCCTTACCGCAGCATGTCCTGCAATAGCTTATGGTTGGTTGCATACTAAGATTTTAGAAAGGGCTAAATACTTGGCGCTGCTTAAAAATAATGATAATTTCGACGCTTACTTAAATTTAACTAACAATTTACACGATGATTTGCATTGGTGGAAAAGAAATCTAGTACACGGAGTCAACCCAATACGTAGACAAAAATTTGATTTAGAAATTTATACAGACGCTTCAACCACAGGTTGGGGCGCAGCCTGTGGATCTGAAAAAACCGGTGGTTTTTGGTCTATTGCCGAACGCTCCCATCACATAAATTTTCTAGAACTATTAGCCATATATTTTGGCCTTCAATCATTTGCCAAAAATAAAAGGAATTGCGAAATCCTTTTAAGGGTGGACAACACCACTGCTATATCATATGTTAATAGGATGGGAGGAGTACAATTCCCGCACCTCAATCACGTTGCAAGAATGATTTGGAAGTGGTGCGAAGAAAGAAAAATATACATTTTCGCTTCATATATTCGTTCTTCATTAAATATTGAGGCCGATAGAGAATCACGAAGGATTAATATAGACACCGAATGGGAGCTAGGTTCACGAGAATTTCGAAATTTAATTTCTTTATTTGGAGAGCCTTGTATAGATTTATTTGCGTCACGAACTAATGCTAAATGTTCCTTGTATGTCTCATGGAAAAAAGACCCATTTGCTTTCAACATAGATGCGTTTACGCTTGATTGGTCTCAATTTTATTTTTATGCATTTCCACCGTTTGCTCTTATTTTGAAAACCCTCAATAAGATAATCTCTGATGGTGCCACTGGGATAGTTGTGGTACCCCACTGGCCATCTCAACCGTGGTATCCCTTGTTCAAATCTATGTGCATCAAAGACATCCTTATTTTCCCGCCAAGTAAATATTTACTATCGTCTCCTTTCAGGTCGACGCACCCGTTGCACCGACACCTTTCCCTGGCAGCGTGTGTGTTATCCGGGAAGGTTTCCGTAAACAATTAATACCAGAGTCGGCTCTGGACGTCATGGTTGCCTCAATAGCAAAAAATACTATTACTCAGTATACGTCTAGTTTAACACGATGGTGGGAGTATTGTACAAAAAATGGAATAGATTTTTTTGATGTTAACATTAATTCTTTGATAGGATTTCTCTCTCAATGTTTTAATAACGGGGCATCATATGGAACCTTAAATAGTCACAGGTCAGCAATTTCTTTGATATCGACAAATAATATTAGTGGAAATCAAAATTTAAAACGGTTTTTTAAAGGCATTTTTAAGTTGAAGCCCGTGTTTCCTCGCTATAATATTACGTGGAACCCAAATATTGTGCTAAATTACTTAGAACATATGAACAATGATCAAATCAATTTGGCTATGTTAAGTAAAAAACTGGTGATGTTGTTAGCATTAGCTAGTGGGCAAAGAACTCAAACACTCTCACTAATAAAGTTGAAAGATATAAAAACATATAATGATCGACTAATAATCCCAATAACTAATTTGATTAAAACCTCTGCAATTGGTAGGTCCCAACCTATCCTTAATCTCCCATTTTTTAATCAAAGGCCGGGAATATGCCCAGCTGCAGTCTTGCAGAAATATGTAGAAGCAACATCAGTTCTCAGAAATACGGAAGAACTCCTTATCTTAACTTTTAAAAAACCGCATAAGGCTGCTTCATCTCAAACGATTGGGCGCTGGATAAAGCAAACTCTTTGCGACTGCGGGATTGATATTTCGGTTTTTGGGGCCCATAGCACGAGGCACGCTTCAACTTCCGCGGCATTCCGTGCTGGTTTGAATGTAGACACCATAAGGAAGAGTGCTGGTTGGTCAGCACAATCAGCCGTTTTTGCCAATTTCTATAATAGACCGATTGTTGACACATCTATAAATTTATTAAATTCATTATCTTAGTGTTCAGATATTACAAATTAAAAGATTAAAAAAGATGTATTTAGTAATATTATTTTTTCTTTTGTTAAATGATCTCAATAGTTTACAATATTATGAAGTCAGAAATGTTGTTATATTTATTGTTTTTCAAATTTAATAAAAATATGATTTACTCTTAAATCATGTTGTTTTTCTTTTGTATTCGCAACATAGATCATTTCTCTAAACATCTACATAGTAAGAAATAAATCTAGAAGACGAAGACAGGATAATTGAATGATCAAACGAACTTACCTGAAGTGAAGTTCGATCTTAATTATCCTGTCTTCGTCGAAGAGATTTAGGGTCCCACCCATCCCTTTAGAATCATGATCTACCCTAGATCTATGTTGCTTTATAGTCAACTCTAAAATGAATGAGGATAGGAACTATGGCACTCCGGCAGGTAGGGTAGGAAAGAGAGGGGCAATTTTTGTCTCTTTTACTCTAAACAGCTTGTGCGATATGGTTGGCGCGTAGCGGGACTACTACATAGTAAGAAATAAATCTCTTCGACGAAGACAGGATAATTAAGATCGAACTTCACTTCAGGTAAGTTCGTTTGATCATTCAACTTCATTTGTAAATTTAAAACCTTGTACATAAATAAACGTCTATAAAGTTTGGAGACTACAAGTTTGCTCGTAGACATTAGCGAGAAACTTCCAGCACTTGCTATAAAAAAAAAAAATTGTTATTTAATTACAAGAAATTGTTTGCCTTCAAAAACCGAACTCCGGCTATTTCAGCCGGAGATTAAAAAAAAAATTCAATCTTTTGGTTATTTTTTGTGAAAAACGTACCTCAATATGGCTCGGCATCAATGTTCGCTGGCGAATATTTGTCATCTTGTCACAAATATTCGCCGTTTCTTCATCCTGTGCATCTTACGAATGTCTTTCCATCTTCAGCAGTTTAATGTTAAGTTTTATTTATTCCTTAAGCTGTAAATAAATGGTACGTATTTTGTAGTATCCCTAGATAAAACATTTTAAGCGGTTTCATGAAAAAAATCCACAAAAAGATACGCTATGTGAAAATTGTGAATTTATTCAATAACCAACGCACGCTCGAAATATTTTCTATAGTTATGCAGCCTTTCACATCGAAAATGTTCATGCTCGTATGTAATATTATGTTATTATTTGGTTATAGGGTAGAGATTTTGGCTGTAGTGTAGATAATTCCAAAATTATAGTTCAAATTCGATACCCATTGGGGTTACCCCATTATAGTTTTTGCAATTCACGAAGGCGAGTGAGTTTTACAATTGTAGTGGCTCGCTTCTTTGATAGACATTACACTATCGTTTTGTGCATGTACGTACACGTACACACACAAGTAAAGCTCACTCGCCTTCGTGAGTTGCAAGAACTATACCACCTTATAAGTTTTAATGTCACCGTAAAATTGTAAATTCCGTCAGATTATAGTTTGACGTGGTTAGATTACAATCTGACGTTGACAAAAATAACGCAAAATTAGAGTAGACCGTAACCTTTTTTATAACATGCACAAATATAATGATCAAAACAACGTCGGCAGCTGTCAAACAGCAAACTTATAAATCACTCAGAGCTCGAAACATCCGAGTAACAATCTCGATTCGATGATAATTCGGCCGGTAATGATGATCGATTGTGCCAACTTCCGAGTTGCCAAATGCAAACGAGAGAGCGACGAAATTTTTACGTCACCCCTTATTCGAGATTAAATTATATTCTTTCCCTAAAGGTGGTAAAGCAATTTAGTGATAGGAAATTCATTGCATGCGGACAAAGTATGTCTTAAGTGTATTATGATCTTAATTACCTATCAATAAACATTTAAGAGACTTCGTTTAGCTGCTAAAAAGGTTGTAGACACCTTATACGTTTTTGATCGCAAGGATAAGCTTTAATATTCGGACTATTCTGTTCGTGTTTTGTTTAGTCTAGTGTAGCTAATTACTAAAGATCTTCATCGTTGATTACCCTTAAGTATTTCTTTATGCAACGGATAAACTAGCTTTTCCTTATCTTCAATTTAAGCTCATTCTTTCCAGCCATAACACAACCTTTTCAATTCCTCTAAAATAAGAAGATAAAGAACCGAAACAAAAAGACGGTATAAAACGTCTCGTTGCATTAAAACAGCTGCATTTCTCTGAAGCACAGGATAATAATAAATTTAAACTGTACCGACCGAGTCCAGGAGGACGCGCGTTGGATTTCAAAATGATCAATACAAAGGCAAGCATCAGCTTTAATAAACTCGACACTATTGAAGATGTCAGCTTTTACAGACTTTAGTTTCACAGAAAGGACAACGGGCGTTCTTTAAGCGCGGGGACTGCGGAACTATTTTAGTGGAACTAGTTTTATAAACATTGAGTAGGTAGCTATACTTTTTGAATGTCCTTAGCATGGAAGAAACAATTGCCTAAATATTTTTCTCTCGCGATAAGAGTTAGCATTATTAAGACAGAATTTTCAACTGACCACTCTGTCAAGACTACATACATTTCTCGACGAAAGAGAATTTTACTTATGATTTTATTTGCGTGGATTTACTTAGCAAGCTGTTCCAAGAGCCAAATTCCATGCAAAGAACGCCCCTGTGCTGAGTGCACGCACAGATCGCTGGTTGCATATTTCCACCCGTTTCTCTCGTTCTTCAGGCATAAACTCAGTTTGTTACCTTCAGGTCAATCATGGAGCCAATTTTGATACATTTCAGGTAACATCTATTTTAATATAACTTTATTTACAAAAGAATACCTACATTCTCAGAGAAAGCTGTTCCAAGAGCCAAATTCCATGCAAAGAACGCCTGTGCTGAGTGCGCGCACAGATCGCTGGTTGCATAATTTTATTTCCACTCGTTCCTTTGCGTCAGCGCGCGCGGTCACGTGACCTGAAACCCATGTTTCTATGGAAACACCCCGTTTTTTGCAGGAACTGTTTTTTTGAAGGAGCCTGGTTAGTATGCGCGTTTTAATATTAACATTCACACGAACATCCCATTTGCAGTATCCAGCAAAATACTGATCCGTTCGAATTTGAATTTGAATTGCAAACGATAGTTCAGTTTTGCGGGATCCTGCATTACTGGTTCCCGTGGGAACGAGCCCTCACTCAGTTTGTTACCTTCAGGCCTCATAATCATTGAATCAATTTTGATAACTTTCAGGCTACACCTTTTTACTATAGCTTTATTTACATTCTCAGAGCAAGCTGTTCCAAGAGCCAAATTCCATGCAAAGAACGCCTGTGCTGAGTGCGCGCACAGATCGCTGGTTGCATATTTCCACTCGTTCCGTCGCGTCAGCGCGCGCGGTCACGTGACCTGAAACCCAACGCTCTTATGATTAGTGCGCGGTAACTCGCTCGAAACTACATCGGAATCGATGTGTAATCGAGTTAAATTCGTTTAACCGGTACACAAACTCGGCAGGACACTTGTTTTTGTTTGGGAGAAGATTTTTGGTAAAAACAATTTTGATATCATTCTAATGAATAAGTATAGTTGTTGCAATTGAATGCGAGTGAGCTTTACATGTGTGGCTCGCTACTGTTCATTTTTCAAAAGTTTTCATAGACATTACATGGCATTACGCTATCGTTATGTGCATATGTACACGTACACACACAAGTAAAGCTCACAAACAACAGAATCAATTTTGAAACTTAATAGTTAATATGGTAATATGGTATACCTAGATGTCATATTATTCCACTTTTTTCGCAAAAGTTAGACTTTCGCTATAAAACTATGCGATCAAAACCGCAAAATTTTATAATTGCTTTATTTATCGGACTGCGACTACTCGTATTCAACGTATTCACTCTGTAAAGTCTTAAAATAGCCGTAGATATCGATTGCTCGTCCAATATGTTTACCTATCGCTTGCAAATTGACGCGAAAAGTGAACTGGCATAATATTTACGGCTCGAACTCCGCTAACCCTCGGACGTATCGCTAAAACGCTATCGCGACCGATTGAGCGATACGGTATTCAAAGTTGCAGTATTGCATAACTATAAGGTTTATTTTGGCATGGTATTTAATGGTAGGTGCCTGCATCATGCGCATAATACAGGTGCATATCTATGTTGCAGTCAAAACTCATAATCGGTCAAAACCTCTTTTGACTGCAAAAATCACAAGTGGTTTTGACTAAGCGCACTTTGAGTGCTACATGTATTCTGTGGTGCTACGTTTTATTTAACCGACCGAACTTTATA